TTTCGAGGTAGAGCGAGTTAAATGATTTTAAAAATATGGGTGTCCAGGGCAAGCGGTTTTGTGTGAAGGCTCTCCATATACAACAATGCTGCGACGTATTTTTATAAATTAAAAAAAAATATTTCTGATATCCGGATGGGTATGCAAATTTGAGGAATGAATTATCTCACATCTTAGATCTGAAAACCGATGAAAAAAAAAATTGGCTTTTTTTTTAAAAAGGCTCCCCCCACTCCCCTCCAACTACGATTTTTGGACGACCAAGTGATTTTGCATTGCAAAGGTCTTAGGAATGATAAAAAATGGGTTTTACATTTTAGCAACAAAGTGCCCACGGGATAGCACGATAGGATCCCGTTTAAACTCTACTATTAGGCCAATAAATGATACTCCAAACAGTAATCTTGAACTTTGTTCCTCAGCTGACTTGCATAAAAAACGAAAATGTAGTCGGAAGACAGGAATTTTTATGTTTCTTGACTTTGATTTTGAATTGGGTGATATTTGTGCAATTTATTGAATTTTGAGATAGCTCCGTGAGTGAACTTTTTTTGACCAAGTGTAGAATTAGCAGCATCAAGATGAAACAAGTCATATTGTCTAGTATGATGTTCATGGATTTGAGAATTCCTTAACAATATGAAGTTGGATTTGAGGTGTTTGTTGATAATATCAAAAGAAATTTTGAGAGTATTTATCAGATAGTGCTCTTTCGAAGAAATTGTATTTGTTTCTTCATAAAGTTGATTTGATGGGGTCTCATATGGAAGACGATACAGTACTTTTAATGCTTTTTTATATAGTACAGATAATTTGTTTGAATTATTCTTGGAACATGAACCCCAAATAGCAGGAATAGCCATTTATGGAATGAAAAAAATCCTCATGGTATGTTCCGAAAACGCTACCAAAAGAAGTTCTGACAACTTCTGGCCAGATATTGTCGGGATTCATATTGTGGGGCTATATCTTCTTCCTCCTCGTCTGAATGGACCGTCCTACAGAAATACCTATCTTAGTCCGTCAAAGAATGTGGTATCAGCATGACGGAGCACCAGGCCATTCCTAGCATATAGTTCGTCGCAGTTTCTAGACCAGAATTTCCCTGATCAGTGGATAGGTTAATATGATCCCGTTAATTGGCCTGCACGTTCTCCCGATTTAACTCCACTAAATTGTTTCCTTTGCGGGTACCTCAAATCCATAGTCTCTTCACCTGTGAAATCTGTAAAAGATTCAACTTCTAGAATTTCAGCAGCAGGCATAGTAATACAGAATACACAAGGCATCTATGAAAACTTGCGAAAGTCCATGATCAGAAGATGTCATTTATTATGTATTGAACAAAATGGAGGTTCACTTGAACATTTGCTTCGAATTTAATTCTTGTATTTCCTTTAGCGCAAGAATATTGTATGCGCCAAATAATCTATTCAAATTTTTAAAATTTGTTAATGTTTGACATATTGAAAACATTGTCATGGTTTCCCCCAATTGAAAACTGTTGTTTCAATAGTTTCATGATTCTGACAAATTTAAGATGGCTTACGACTATCAACCTCGAGATCGTCGATTTACTTCTGACTCACACACACAATGTTTTCAATTTTTTGGGCATTCAAAAATATTCCGGAGGTTGGAAAGTTCAATCGATATCTCGTATAATATCAGCATTATGCGATTATGGTACGTAGCAATAAATTAGGAATCTACTCAATATTACCTCAATACATGTCTTGAGTTTTTCGCAAATATTTCTGGAACCTACATTTTGGCATGCAAAATGTTTTCACTCTCAGGTTGAGTGTTGATAATCATAAGTGATGTCATTCACTAATATCATAAATCATCTGTATGAGAAAAATTTTGAAGGAAAATGTGGCGATATACGACCCTTACTACGCCACTGGTTGACGAAATTCAAAAATGAAAACTCTGTGATTAATATCTGATCAATCTGGATTGGTATACCAAGTTTCAATTTTTTTGCTACGGGGGTCTGGAGAAATTTAGAGAAATCTCGAAATTTTTTCGTACTTTGGACACCCTGTATCTCAGTTAGGATGCGTTTTAGGACATACATTGACAAGAATTTTTCACCTCAAAATAAGGTGAGGAATCCGTGTACGAAAGTTGTCGGTCTTGTTCTGACTCACCCTGTATATCTTGGGAGCAAATGTTCATTTCCCTCCATGTGTGTTTAATGCCCTTCGCTACGCGTCGGGCATCATCAAATTCCACAAGCTGGAAGGAATGAATACCTTTGCTCCCCTGATAAATAAATAGCTATTATTATATATCGAAGACTGGAACCTTTGGCACGATAATACACTACACTGTTTTACCACCAACCAAACCGATTTTTTAACGCCTCGACACGTGTTTCGCTAACTATGTTAGCATCTTCAGGAGAAGAGTTGAGTTTTAACAACAGTTTTAATCTTCTCCTGAAGATTTTTTTTTTATCGCTTGGAGCGCACGAAAGGGAATCCCTATAATGTTCAAAGAACATCGTGCGTTCCTAGGGAGGATAGGGACAAGAGGTAGGTATTGGAATTTTTTTTGAACTTTTGAAGATTATAATATGTTGTTGGGAATACTTCCACAGGCAATGAATTCCACAGCCTAGCCGTTCTATGGATGAAGGAGTCTTGATAAAGTGCTGTTCGACATCTTTCGAGGTTGACAACGAAACGATGTGCTGACTGGGCTTGTCTTGTCCGTCTGATTGGTATTGCTAGTGGAGGGATGATAGCAGAGCAGAGCTAACATAGTTAGCGAAACACCTGTCGAGGCGTTAAAAAATCGGTTTGGTTAGTGGTAAAACAGTGTAGTGTAGCTATTATTATTCTCAAGAATACGAAAGCTCAGGAGTGCCAGTGGAAAAAAATAAAAAGTCGAAATTTCGACTTAGGAAGTCGAAATTTCGTCTTAGTAACTCGAAATTTCGTCTTATTAAGTCGAATTTTTTGACTTACTAAGTCGAAATTTCGTCTTAACAAGTCGAAATTTTGTCTTACTAACTCGAAATTTCGTCTTATGTAAGACGAAATTTGGAAATTTCCTCTAAGCTCACAGCCACAGAATGGCGTATTCTGTGTACTTAGTATCTCTTCATTATTTAGAGCGGGTTGAAAATAGTCCTCATTTTCAAAATCTTATTTACACTCATATACAATAAAGTGTCCCGAAATTAGCCTGCCAAACTTCACCAGCGGCTTTTAGGATAGAATAGAATCTTTATTGTTTACAGAAACACGTGGTTTCATAACAAGGAGTTCATACAGTTCGATGCAGCAAAAACTTATGACTAATACAGATATACTCGGCGGCTTTCACTACCAAAAATAGAATGAAAACTGTCAATGAACATGGGACGAGAAATACCTCCCAGGAGAGCTATGGCACCCCGAAAGGGGGCCCTTGAAGATGATATTTCTTGAGTATTTCCGAATCTAAATGTAATAAAAAAATTCCCTTTGATGCAAGAACTGAAATTTCTATGCCCAATGCGGTGTAAATGAAATCATTCCAAAATTTCAATCAGGAGTGTATAATACAGGGTGGGACTATATTAAATATTGCTCCAAATTTTTTTTGCACATTTTTCGACAATTTAATCTCGGATTATGAAATTTCACACCTCTTTACAGAAAATAAGGTACTCTTGTTCCGTGACGATCAGATGATGTATTGTTATCGGGTTAAAGCAATTTAAGAATATTGTTACATCTCAGATATTATGCATACCATTGCAATGAGGCATAGTGAAAATGTAAAAAAATGCACAAAAATTGAAGTAGTTTTTTCATCATCATTTTCTTATTTTTTGCGCTTTTTTGAGATTGTTCGGTAAGTAGAAAGTTCTTGATTATTTTATAGCCACTATGATTTGAAAATTGGCAACGTTATGCACAAGATGTGAATGCATCAATATTTTTAAATCGATTTCAATCGAAAATGATACATCTGTTCAATGCGGAACAGGAGCACTTATTTTTGTGAAATGGTGTGGATTTTTATAATCCGAGACTACATTGTCAAAAAATATGCATACGAAAAAGTTTGAGCAATATTTAATGTATATATATAGTCCCACCTTGTATTTTACACTCCTGAATGAAATTCTTAAATGATTCAATGTTCACCGCATATTGGGCATGGAAAGTTCAGTTCTTGTACCAAATTGCATCATTTTATCACGTGGCGTTCCAGAAATATTCAAGAAATATCATCTTCAGGAGCCCCCTTTCAGGGGGCCATAGCTCCCTTGGAAGAAATTTCTCGACTCATGTTCATTGGAACTTTTCTTTCTATTTTTGGCTGCTGGTGAAGTTTGGCAGGCTAATTTCGGGACACCCTGTATAATAGAGATCTGAGTTGAAAAACTAAGAAGACAGTGGACCAAAACTGGCATCCGTCGTAGATACCTAGATCTATAGATGTCTTTTGTAATGGCCAAGAACCATCAATACCATCAATTTAACTATGTCGAAATTTCGAGATGTTGAGTCAAAATTTCAGCTCACTAATACGAAATTTCGACTTAGTTAGACGAAATTTCGAGTTGGTAAGACAAAATTTCGACTTTCTAAGTCGAAATTTCGACTTTTTATTTTTTTCCATTGGCACTCCAGAGCTTTCGTACGAGAAACATACATGTTATTTATAACAGGTAAATTTATGAAAGAGTACATGGTTAGCAGTTTCTCGTAGGCGAACATAAGGGCCGCTTTTCTTCCATGGCACTATTAATGGTGAAAGGTAAAGACAAGTTATGTTGAAACCATTCATTAATCAACTCTTGATGATGAAGAAATCTAAGTCGGCTATTTTCAGCAAGATGGGGCCACATCCCATAATGCACACGTTCAAAGTTAGCATATTTACAAGAATTTTATGACAACCGTGTGATATGAGTCGAGGAGTTAATCCTTCTTTCCCAACAATAATAAGAGTTGAGTAAGGCATTTCTGATTGTTTCCATTCTTACATTGCAGATGATCCAACAAAGATGACAAAAACCCTATTCTCTGTATCCCCAACGTTTGTAGAGAAAAATGAGAGTAGCACTTTCAACATTAAAGAACCTACATTTGTAACACCAGAGGCACAAATGAGCGATTCCCGATATTATAGTGCTCATGCTCAACCTTGTTTTCAGGTAAGTGTGGTTGGTGGCGAGATAACTATAGTAGACCAGTGCTGAAGCCTTTGAAAACGGTAAAATGTGAAGAAAAATCATAGTAGTATGAAATCATTGAAAAAGAAAGAGAATATAACAAAGATGAAAGGAAAAATAAATTACGGGCGATCTGAGGTCGGGAAGTGGTAGGGGGTGAGTTTTCAAGGGTGAAAAACGGTGTATCTTGATTTCCAGCAAAACAACGAGCCCTATGGAAAAAAGTTGAATAGCAAAGTTGTAGGTAATAAAGAGACCTACAACTTTTGTTATCACACTTCTTTCACATAACCTTGAAATTTATGTGAAAAATTCGATTAATCAAGTTTTTGGTTTTTTATTTTCATCTTATGCAAAAATAGTAGATTGTTTTATTAGGATCAAAAGTGACACTTTGTTTGACAAGCGAATTTTGCATTTGCGAGACGGGGCGTTTAGCGAAGCCGAGCGAAAGCAAAATTTGCGAGTCGAACGAAGTCACTTTCGATCCGAATGAAACATGCTATTTTTTCTGCAACTGAAACAATTAACTCAAATAAACATGTGAAGTAACCACCAATGCCGTGCCATATGTATGCAATGCAACTAATATTGACAAATAATCCGTGTGGTAAGAATATTCTACCTGCATTAACAGCAGGTTAGGTTTTCAAGGATGTTCGAATTGTAGTTTCAATATAAATACAACCACAGAGTGACATATTTGTGTATGGACCAGGTGCTCTAATGGCAAATACCGCGCCAGTGCCAGCTATAGGAACAAGACTCTGAAAAGATTAGGTTAGTGAGAGTATCAACGATGCGATAATAGTGATTATTTATTCATCTTCATACTACACTGTGTTTGACTTGATAATCAAATGAAGCTAAACAATATCGTTGTTTGAGACAAAAAAACTATTGCTTGCCGTGATTATTCAAAAACATGTTATCCATCCCGAGAATAACGAATGAAATACAGATCAAGCAAGTATTTGAGTCTTGAAGGCTTTCCTGATCAAAACAAAAATACTTAACTGATATATGTTTATAATTCCAATACTAAACTATAATAAGGTATATTAATATCCTCAGCATGGGTATGAAATACCAAATCTGCTGAAATCGGAAACAAATCGGTTATGCGTCTCAGCCCAAATGACCAACCGTCACAATGTTGTTTATTCTTGATGACGTCCAGTACATCCTTTTTAGTTCTTAGGAACTAAAGTTCAACTTCAGCTCCTAGGAACTAAAATTCAACTTTAGCTTCTAGGATCAGAATATGTTGCCTACCATTATACCTATTTTTGTGTCAGTAATAGAAACGTCAATTTAAGAGCTAATTTTGGTATCAAAATAGACGACTTTTGTGTTGGTTGCAGAGAAAACTTTTTTTTTCACGAAATTTGGTCAAAACTTACTTTTTCATGTCCTAAAGACACTGTAATTTTTTTGATTTGAAATATTCATTTTTTCTCCTCATATTGACTCAATATCGAAAAAACACCCTTATTTTCAATCGAAAATTCTCGCGTCAAAATATCAGCTTTTTAAAGAAATTCGGTGCGTTTTTTGTTCGTTGAAATCTCTTCTTTCTGATAATGTGGGAAAATAAATACATTACTGTGGTAAATGTTCTCAGAAAATGCAAAGAAAAGAAAAAAACTCTAATCCGATTTTTTTTAAATCACTATGTAAAATTTCGTGAAATATTCACTGCAATTACTAGGATTTGAAGGGGGGATTTCAATAAGAAAATGTGATTGCTGCAATTTTTTCAGTCAAAAAGTTGTATTATTAAATTCTAATTACATTCATGATGTCATAGAAAATCTCCTAATATATGAATAGAAATGTAAATCGTACTATTGAATTGAGATACTTTATACTGATTTTTATAGTATTTAATATTTTTGAATGCATTTATCTTCTCTTTTATAAATCTGATCTTGAACCCTAATCACTTATTCATCACTTTTGGTCTCTTCGGTGGCATTTCTTCATCGTTGGATTCGACAAACCTTCCCGATTCTAGAAGATCTATAAAAACTTCAAGACCATCACCGTCTTCGTATCCAATATTATTTTTAGTCTGAATTGGTCCTTCGTCCACAATTTCATGTGGATTACTAACTTCCTTTAAATCATATCTGTGATATTTTGAACAACTATTTCCGCATGTTCCTTGCAATCTTCAAGTAATTAAAGTGTGAATTTCACTAAATAGCTCAAAATTGTACAAAGTGATTTAAAAAAATCGGATTCGACTTTTTTTTTCTCTTCCTAAGAACATTTACTATAGTAATGTATATATTTTTTCTCATTATCAGAAAGAAGAGATTTTAACGAACAAAAAACGCCACGAGTTTTTTCAAAAAGCTGATATTTTGACGTGAGAATTTTCGATTGAAAATCAGGGTGTTTTTTCGATATTGAGTTAAAATGGGGGGAAAAAATAAATAATTCAAATCAAGAAAATTACAGTGTCTTTAGGACATTGGAAGGTAAGTTTTCACCAAATTTCGTGGAAAAAAATTCTTTTTTCTGTGAAGGAAAAAAAATTTGGCATTTCATCTCTGTTGGCAGGTTATAAAATGTCACTTTTCATAAAGTACTTTTTTCACGTGGGGAAAAAGTGAGTACTTTTTTCCCGGATATATATCAGATATACCTATATACACTGTTGATGGCTTTTGTTGTGGTATACTTCCGAAAAATGAGTCAATAATACCGTCTCCGAGAAAGAACTGCAAGTCCTTTTATCTTCCATTCGACTTCGCGGTTACGTATATTACTAAACAACTACCAAATTCGCAATTTTTTTAAATCAAATCACAAAATTAGACTGACAGAAGTGACATCAGATATTTGATTACTTCAAAAGAATGATAAAGATGCCTACAACGCAGGTGTCCCTACTGTTAAAAACTTAAACTTTCACGTCGATAATTTTCAGATTTCAAAATAATGTTATATCTTCTCAATATTGATTCGTTCTTTCTTCTGTCACAGAAAAAAATAGTGTATTATACACGGGAAAAATATTAGATTTTAGCTCACGGTTTTTTGTCTCCCTCCGCTACGCGTCGGGAGACAACACAACCTGGAGCTAAAATCTACTACTTTTTTCCCTTGTATAATAAATAACTATTTTTGCATAAGATAAGAATACAAAAACACAATCTTTATTACCTACAACTTTGCTATTCAACTTTTTCCCATAGGGCTCGTTGTTTTTCTGGAAATCAAGATAACCCGTTTTTTACCCTTGAAAACTCACCCCCTTCCACTTCTCGACCTCAGATCGCCCGTAAATCGCCATTTTTCAACGGGGTTCATCCAATTATTATTTCTTTTGGTTTCAAGAATTATCGACCCTGGTCTATATAGATAGTGGGTAGACAGATAGATTGATCGATAATTCATTCATCGGAATGTATCTTGTCATAAACAATAATTTCAATCGATTCGATCACTACTATACCACAGAATACTTTGAGTATTCTGTGACTATACTTCTTTCGATACCAGGAAGCCTCGAGCTGGGTCAAAAGCAGTTACAGCTCAACAAAACCTAGAAGGTGAGCGATCCATGGGTACGTGAGTCATAATTTATAGGCTCATAGCAAAAGGAACGATCCATCAGGAATGACACCACTCTGCATCGCATCAGAAATGTTGTACCTTAAGTGAATTCCACGACCAAATCAAAATTTTGGATATCCAGTTTCGAATTGATCAAAATTATGAATGTGGTGTCTTGGCTATTAATTCATGAGCTGACTCTCAACTATGACAAATCTATTCGTCTATGTATATTTCTTAAACAAAAACTGATATATCGAAAACCAAAATATTTTTCGACCATCAGAAACTCATAAAATATTCAGATGTTTCAAAATTCTTATACAGGGTGTAAATTTGAAAGAGTTAAGGGGAACTAGAACCACCATATTTCAGTGAAGGGATGAGTCACCCTGTCAGCGCAACACACCCCAACTTTGAAATGTCAAATGGCACTACCTCTTTTGTGATACCTAAAATGAACGGTCTCAGTCAGTAGTATTCACCTGTACAAGACTTTTCTTCCACCCACTACAGGGTGTACGAAAAACATTAATTCGAGGGTCTAAATTTGAAAACATTCAATGCGAATATCTCGCTAAATAAAACAGTTAGGAAAACGCCGTTTGGCACAAATGCTACAAAATTAGGGCGAACTAGAACCACCATACTTCAGTAAAGGGATGAGTCACCCCGTCGGCGCGACACACTCCATCTTTGAAATGTCAAATGGCACTACCTCTTTTGTGATACCTCAAATGAACGGTCTCAGTCAGTAGTATTCATCTGTACAGGACTTATTTTCCACCCACTACAGGGTGAACGAAAAACATAAAGTCGAATAAAATAAAATGCAGAATGCCGATATATTCCAAGAGATGTGTTCCAAAATGTTAAAATGGCATTTGAACATCGATTATACTATTGCTTACAACAGAATGGAATGCATTTTGAACATCTGATCAAATAAAATATCCTTTTAACACAATTCATTTTATTTTATTCGACTCTATATTTTTCGTACACCCTGTAGTGGGTGGAAAAAAAGTCTTGTACAGGTGAATACTACTGACTGAGACTGTTCATTTGAGGCATCACAAAGAAGGTAGTGCCATTTGACATTTCAAAGTTGAGGTGTGTCGCGCCGACGGGGTGACTCATCCCTTGACCGAAATATGGTGGTTCTAGTTCCCCTTAACTCTTTAGCATTTTTGCCAAACGGCGTTTTTCTAACTTTTTCCTTTCCCGAGATATTCGCATTGAAAGTTTTCAAATTTAAACCTTGTATATATGTTTATATTGATGAATAATTATCGTGAGCTAATTATATAGATTACCTGAGAAAAAAACTTAATCCAATCAGTGGCATTTTTTACAAAATTCGAAATTTTATTCCTCTTAGATACTTACAGAATATACACCGTGTCCCAGCTAAAATGTCACCCCCTGTAAAAAGTCAACCGCGCGATCGAATGACTTGAAATTTGGTCACCCAGTATATTTGATGATGCTCACTGGAAATATGCTATTGAATAAATCGTAGGTATACAGGGTCAGACCGAAGTGCACTTCAACTTCCTTATATGAATAGGGACACCCAGTATATTATTCCATATTCAAGTAGAGTTCATTATTACATATTCAACAATGCCGGGTTTGATGGAATTTTTTCAAACGACTACGAAGATATAGCGAAAAATTAAACGATCCAATAAAAAATTTATATGATTATATTTTATTAATGTAACACGATTGAAATCGAATGCTGGGTGTCCTGCAGATAACTACATACCCGTAAAGGATTATCTTCGCCATCGGTTTGGAGAAAATCTAATAACCACCAATTGTTTCGATGGTGATAGCAACTGGCCAGCTGGGTCGCCAGACCTCACCCCACTTGATTTTTATTTGTGGGGCTACTTGAAACAACAGGTTTATGAGTCTTCAATTGTGAATATGGAAGAAATGAAAAAGAAAATCACAAATTTATGCGTCATCAAAAGAGCTAGGAAATGTTTGCAGCAGAATGGACGACATATTGAGCAATTGAGGTTTTAATTATTGTCTTTTCATTCGATTTCAATCGTGTTATATTAATAAAATCTTATCATATACATTTTTTATTGAATCGTTTTATTTTTTGCCATATCTTCGTAGTCGTTTGAAAAAATGAAACCTGGCATTGTTGAATTTGTAATAATGAACTCTACTTGAATAGGGAATAACATACTGGGTGTCCCTATTCAAATAGAAAAGGTTAGGTGCACTTCGGTGTGACCCTATATACCTATACGATTTATTCAAAAGCATATTCCGAGTGGGCATCATCAAATATACTGGGTGACCAAATTTCGAGTCATTCGATAGCGCGGTTGATATTTTCCTTTTGTGACAACAGAAATCCTTCTTGAACTTCACTGAAGTAAATACAATTTCAAGGTATACAATGTGGCCCACGGTCGATGGTACCTTAGACGTATACGGAAAATGGTACATTGGATTATCCTGAAAATTTGGTTACTCTAATAAGCGTTTGTGATGTAACGATTCAAAATATTTTCAGCGATGCGGCGTTGCCACTTTTACCAAAAAGTAGCATCATCTTTGTTATTTCAAATGGAATACCCTGTATTTCATTGCGTTTTTAGATTCTTCTCAAACAGATGATTTCATCAATGCATCACACTTGGGGTCTAGCAGGAATTATTACAGAGATATAGGGTGTTCAAAATCGAGATTTTTCAATTTCAGGAATTTTTTGTGTCGAAACTATTCATTATCGATCAAAACGGCTCTCATGTCCCTATCTTAACTTTTGATTCATTATCTACTGACATCTAATTGGAACAGATACAGGGTGATCAAAATTCTGAATCTTGGACCATCCTGTATTTTTTCCAATTAAATGTCGGTAGATAGTTTATCAAAAGTTGATACAGGGACATGTAAGCCATTTTGACCAATGATTAATAGTTTCGACACAGAAAAATCCTGAAGTTGAAAAATCTCGATTTTGAACACCCTATATCTCTGTAATAATTCCTGCTAGACCCCATATCTAAAAACGCCATAAAATACAGGGTGTTCCGTTTGAAATAACAAAGATGATGCTACTTTTTGGTAAAAATGGCAACGCTGCTTCGCTGAAAATATTTTGAATCGTTAGATCACAAACGCTTATTAGAGTAACCAAATTTTCAGGATAATCCAATGTACCATTTTCCGTATACGTCTAAGGTACCATCGACCGTGGGCCACCCTGTATAATACATGAATGTGTATAAAAAAATATGTACTATTAACGGAGCAATTTATTCTTTCTTGAATTGATTTTGTTTCAATTATTGTTATATTGACATAACTTGTTGATCTGTTTTAATTTACTTTTGTTATATACAGGGTGGTCTGTTTTGTAATACAAAAAATTCAACAATGTGCTGTACTCGTTGAGATTATGGAAAAAGTTGATATAAACATATACTTTCATACGCGTCGTTTTCAAGATATAGGGTGTTGAAAATACGAGAATGAATATTGTTTTTTGATGAGAAGTTCGAAACGGTTTGAGATGAATAACAGAATTTCTCACAGACACAGAACTTTTCACGCTGTATGAGATACAATAAAAATTAGTTCATAAAGTAATTAGTGGTGGCTGAATCTGGGGGTGATGAAGAAAAAAATTACGTCAATTTTCATATGTACATTTCATTCTCAATTTGTATATCAAAATCTGAAAATTCATATGTCTCTGCATGAAAAAGCTCACTTGTGGGTTTTTGATGGGTTTCACCGTTTTCGAGTTAAATCGGTTCAGAAATATCGTAACATTTTCAGTTCAATAACAATATTTGGGTGTAATTAATACAAGAGTGTTATGCTCACTGTTTCGTCTCAAAGAGCATAAAAAGGTTATCATCTGATCAATTTTTTTGATTTATCTCAAACCGTTCCAAACTTTTCATCAGAAGCAATATTCAGACTCGTATTTTCAACACCCTATATCTCGAAAACGACGCGTTTGAAAGTATATGTTTACATGACATTTTCTTATTATTTCAACGAGTACACCCGGTTGAATTTTTTGTATTACAAACCAGACCACCCTGTATAACAACAACAGCAACAATATGATAATATACAATCTAACTGACCAAAAACTCCCCAAGCCATAGCGCTGCTATTAATTGTCCGATTCTGAAAAGAGAAAATGAAATGACTCATCAGATACTATATGAGCAGGCTCTGATAATTATTTTTCATAATTTCAACTGTGAACTGTCAACATTTTTCACCTTAATTCACAGAGTATCTTGTTTTCAGGATACTTGTGAGGACCCCGATTCGTGTATCAGGACCAATGATATATCTAAGAAGTGGAAAACATCTGATGCAGCAACAAAATATCCTCCTTGTCCAGAATCCTGCGAAACTCCCGCAGGTGACAGTTTTAGGGTCACAGAAACCCACAAAGTGGAAAAACAACAGCAAATACCTGAAAGGGTTACGATAGAATTGGAACCTTGCGCAGCTCCATGCAACGCAGTTATTGTTGATGCAGCTCCTTGTGAGAGCATTGGGAAACCTTGTCAAACAACTGAAATCCAAACAAGAGATCAGGTATTTCTACCAACGGAAAGATATTCAAATATAAAATTGAAATTTGTTGGTTAGTATTTAGCGAAACTAGAGTTTCTCATAGTGCTGGATACTGGCCGCGATTTTACTAAATATACTGCACGCTAGCACAAACCCCGCCCACCATAATACGTCATATCTCCAAACATTACCGATATACTCGGAGTCAGCACATCGCACTAAATATACTGTGCTTCAACGCAAGAATACACTTTTTATGATTTTGACACGAATTCGACTGAAGCTCTCTCGTTGTCAATCTCTTGTACGCAGTAAATTCATATACCCAAATGGTCTACTGGTTAGCGCTGTCGACTTTCAGTTTGAAGGTCCATGGTTCGAATCGCTGTGAACTTGAACTTTTTTTGCAACTTTTTCTTTCACCAATGTTTTTTCACTTCATTCTGGTTTTCCTTTTTCATAAAATATTTGAAGTCAAATAGGTTAGTGCGTTTAGGATAAACAGTCTCATTTTATTCAATTTTGTTGAAGAACTCAACTTTTGAAATATATTATTAATCAATGTGTTTCTACACTCCATTCGGTTTTCCTTTCTCAAAAATATTGCAATCAGGGATAGGTTAGTTCGTTAAGGATAAATAGTCTCTGAGTTTTGGCTAATTACTTCGAAGATGAGATATTACGGTGGGGGTGGTTTGTGCTAGCGTACAGTATATTTAGTAAAATCGCATACTGGCCACCATTCATTCAATAGGATTACATTCATTATACAAGTTGTTTGAAGTTACATTTGAACGCAATATCTGTAGAAGGCGAAGGCACATGAAAAGGAAATATAATTTTTTGACGAATCTTGCTTTCCTCATGAATATTGAACTGGCTATACAGGGTGTTTCCTAAATGCAGGTGAAAAGTTCGTGTGGTTATTCCTGAGGTCTATAAGGAATATTGGCCAAAAATACTGGTCCAAAAATGCTTCCTTACTCAGATAACACCACCCATATAGAGCACATGTACGTCCAATGAATGTCCAACGGATGTACAACATGGACATAGTAGACGTCCATTGAACGTTCAGTCATGTACATTGGAACGTCCAGAAAACGTCCACTGCTCACTGGATTTAACATCCTATGGACGTACATTCAGGATGTTCAATGGACGTACATTGAGGATGTTCAATGGACGGACATTCAGGATGTCTAATGGACGTACATTCAGGATGTACAGTGGACGTTCATTCAGGATGTTCAATGAACGTACATTCAGGATGTCCAATGGACGTAAATTGAAAGCAGTCAGTGGATGTCCATAAGAGACGTCCAATGGACGTACGGATGTTCAATGGACATAAACTGAAAGCAGTCAATGGATATCCAAACGAAGAATCCATACTCATATAAAATATTATTTATTACAAAAATATCTGTAAGGTACAGTGTAATATCATTCAATATATAGATACAACATATGCTTGGAATTTATTGCATGAATTTCGTCATTCTGCTCTTGTTCAGCCATCATAATTAGGATGATGTCGAGTTAAACAGAATCTGTAATAGGTTTTTCAGCATAATTAAGCGGCTAAATATTTTTCGACTCACAACATTCATGAAAGATTCGAGTAATCAAAACATACTATCTGAAAAAGCATTAATTCAAAAAACTGACAAGATATAGTTATCCTGATTTTTTGAGGCCAAAATTCGATAAAAATGAAACTGAAAAGGTAGAGCTATAATATATACCTGTATATGAAGAGAGGAATAATGAAATTGTATACTTGTATAATTGGATACTCACCACAGTTCAGTTCAAATTCTATATGAACGTCCATACAGTGACTTTCTGAACCCCAATGATTACTCCTCTTCAGAACCACATTATGAATATATATTCAATACATATAGTCCATACATGGACATCCATTGGACGTAACCCGATTGGACGTTGAACTTCCGGATGACCCAGCCATTATAAGTCTCTTGTATATTGTATGACTTCTTAATAATATAGGCAGAGGCTGGATATTTCCCTGATTTGATTTCTCAAACATAGTAGAGATGATTTCGTGCTATTCTCCCTGCAACTATCGGCCCAGTATTTTTCACGCACACCTCTCCTGGTACTTCACGTACTTTCCCGGCGTCGAGGTGTCTAGGTGGCCGCGAGCCAGCCAATACACATCACCGGCGATTCAATTATTGAGTTAAAAGTGCTACAGCGGCAAAAAATTTCAAGACAACATTGATGGGAGCGCTCAGCCACCAACGTATGTGCGCTTGCAAATCCGTTTCATAAGGAAGATGAGTTTTTCGAGCAATTTCCAAGTATCTGACCGCGAACTACAAACTATCATTGCGAAAGTGCGTTTTTACGATTATTAATTCATGAAGTACTACTGAAGCACTCGTTTCGAGTGTCTTATATTTCAATAGTCGGGCGTCATTTCTCTAGTAGATCGGTGATATTTGGAAAGCAATCGATCTTCAGATAGGGCTCCCTGAAGACAGTTTTTTTTTCAATATTCCCGAATCCGCTCTTCCGAATATCATGAAATTTATTGGTAAGCTTCTGTTGCTGAACCAGACTTCGAGCTCAGAATTTCTGTATTTCAATAAGAGGCGTACCATACTGAAGGAGGTTTGGAGGTGAAAACAATCCAAGGTTATGGGAGATGATAGAATCATCGAGAAACGAAGGCACGTCAAGGCAACTAATATATCTATGTATATACAGAGAAGTGCACAAAAAACGGCTAGGACTGTAACTTTTGAATTATTCTAGATAAGGTTTTGAAAATTGGTGGGTAGCAAGTATACTAAATTGCTTATCAATTGATGAAACTATTTTTCGTCTATCACTTTCAGTTTCACCAGAAACGATCCCAACTTGTGATTTTTAAATGGGACACCCTGTATTGTATTCCATAATCGGTTAGGGATTATCATGACGAATTCAACGATACCGAGTTTGATAGGGATATTTCAAATGATTACAAAGATATTTGCGTTAGAAGTTTTCATATGCTCAATGGGTGTAACTTCGCAATATCAAAATTTCTTTCTCTGTCACACTCATTGACCATATGGAAACTTAGAACGCGAATATCTGCGTAATCGTTTAAAATAACCCTATCAAACCCGGTATCGATGAATTCATTATAACAATCCCTAACCGATTTTGGAATACAATACAGGATGTCCCATTTAAAAATCAAAAGTTGGGGTCGTTTCCAGTAAAATCGGAAGTGGTAGAACAAAAATTGTTTCGTCAATTAATGAGCAATTTGGTATACTAGCTGTTCACCAATTTTCAAAACCCTGTCTCAAATAATTCAAAAGTTACAGTCCTGGCCGTTTTTTGTGCACTTCTCTGTATATATATATATATATGTATATGTATAGTGGGACCCATTTGAAAGCGGGCCAGCCTCATACATCTTTAATTTATGAAATGTGGAGGGGGAGAGAGCTCGGGCACTTACACGCTACGTTCCATAAAAGCCTATTTCACTCCCATGATGCATAAATAACTAGTATGTGAGAAGGCCAAATATCCATGACGAACAACCATTCTGCTTCTACATGTAGGTATCCTCATTTCAAATGTGAAGTTATCCATTTCATTTTAACCCATTAAGGACGGATTTAATTTTGTACTGAATTTTGCAATAGTTTATTTTCAAATTGTATTTTCAGAATTTAACTAACAGATTTGCTCGACGAAATATATTGGAAATCATCTCCCTTTCTTCAAAAATTGGTGTTGCCATATGGCAACGCGAGTAACTTACACTGCTGTGGTCTCATACTGGAGTGAACAGGTGCCCTACATCATCATATCGCACATCACCAACACAGCTGAACGATCTGCTCGATTTACTTGCAGATGGTCTATAAACCTTTCCCTGTTGGTGGATTCTTGTACCAATTTTGGTACGTTTCAAAAAATTCTCCACAAAATTGTAGATTAGTCATTTTGTTGCCAGAATGTTTGTACAGAACCCAGGCATTTTGTATCGCCGCATCAAGTAGTCGTCCCCAACAACACAGGGATGTCCTAGGTACGTCCCTTTTTCGTCCCGCGGTACAAGGACATGAGTGGGACATCCAGGAGATGTCCTGTAGTGGTTGTCCAGTGGACATCCCGCCCGGTACATCCCTAGGTTATCCTATTCGTGTCCCTGGAGTATCTGATATCCATTCACATCAGAGTCATTGAATTTCATCAAACTATTGAGTTGAATTTTTTTGAAAATGTTTGTTCCTCTTACGGAAAATGATTGTAATAAAAATAAAGAATAAATAAGTCTCAGAACTTCTTAAGAAATTACCATTTTTCGCAGACAGAAATCGTACATGCATAATGCCCCTCATCTTTAAACACCCAAGAATGATAATAATTAAACCCAATTCCTAATAAAGTTGTATTTATTCAGGTTTCTGTAGTTAAGTCCTTTTTTATAAATCTGTTTAGTACATAAATCTTCAGGAGGCATGATAGCCAATGGAGCAAGGTGCGTGCATGATAAGCCAAAGGTCCCGGGTTCAATCTCTACTCGACCTGCAACTTTTTTCTTTTGTCGAATGGATGTCCCTGGAATATCCTTGGGACGTCCTAGGGATATCCTTTCATCGTACTTGGTACATCCCAGGGACGTACCAGAAGAACATCCCTTGGATGCCTTTTTTAGCGGCCAGCGGATGTCCCTGGGACATCCCTAGTATGTACGTTGTCCCGACAAAGGACATCCCTGGGATCTCCTAGTATAAAATCAGGGACGTCCATGGGAAGTCCCTAGGATGTACTGGTGTTGTTAGGGATGTGAAAAGACACCACCACGACATTCTTCAGCGTGTAAGTTTTTTATCCATAAGATCCGTGCCACCCATGGATGCATTATATTTGGATATCAAGTTTGGTCTTGTTACTTGAACCATTTTTCTCTCCTTCGCTGAATATCGTTTGACACCAGCAAGTGAGGCTACCCCATATCTGGTCGAATTATCTAACTAATACCATCCAGTGACTCTATAGTCGAATCAAGCTGCAGAAACTACATAATTGTCTCTCCAACGCGTTAGTAAAATTCCGTTCTATCCAAAGGAGAATCGAAGTCATCACGTTGTTTCTTACTTATATCCTTTTTGGATACTAACGGCCAATTTTTATGGATTGGGTTGTCGCGAATGGTTCCTGTGGATGAATAACCTCTTGATTTCAGATGACTGAGAAGATGAAGGCTTGTAAATAAATTGTCTGTCAAAAGGTTGTATCACCGTTCCTTTTTGCTTCTGATAACTCGTCCAAAAGCATCAGCATTGGAGCATTAGGTTTTCCAAACACAGTTTGGTATTCTCCATTCACACGTCTATCTTTGCCTTTATATGATCAATCAATCAAGATATCTGTATTTGGTGTTTAGCGACCATATCTTTTTCCAAACCTGATTGGTTTGCCTCGGATAAATTGCTTGCATGAGTGTTTTCCGAAGTATTTGGCCATACACTCGTCGTAATCCAAATCCAATCGAAATTTTGTTGTACTAGATCACTCAGAGGTCTGAGATTATGAAATTTGTCATTTAGATCTAGTGCGTATTATCTGCGCAGTGTAGATACCGCCAAATCGTCAGAAATCCACAAAAAATAAAATGTAGTTCACCGTGAGGACTCGTGTTGCCACATGGCAACATCGAGTTTCAAAGCTTCACAATATGGAAAAATTTAACCAAACTCTCGTTATTCTGTCGCTGTTACGTTGGTAATATTTTCCTGAAGCTATTCTAAATGTATTATCGAAGACTGTATCAATCTCTTTGTATTTATACTCACGTAAACTTGATATACATTTTTTTGAAGTCTTCTTGACATTGATTTACAAAATCGTGTTTCTATAATATGACAGGAGTGAACAGACAAAAACTTCACACGGTTCTGCCAACTGAGACTGCAACAAACTATTGCCGTGTATACCGTCATCTATGTTTTTGATATTCAATAGATTGAATTTTCAGCTACAGAAAACTTATAATTACTGTTGCTGTATGGCAACACCAGTCCTTGATGGGTTTCATCCTTCTGCTATATTTCCCTTATTAGGATATTTCTCATTGAATCACTTTTGTGGGAAACATCGATTCGTTTCAATGTATATCACTAATAATTTTTCGTTTCTCAGTTGACAAATTATCCATGTATAGGTGTGATTTTCAGAGAGATGGCAAATTAATCGATCATATGACAGTGAATAAAGCAGTTCCAACCTACTTATCCTCAGCTTTCAAGCCATCATTTCAATAAAGTGCAAATAGTAATGTTTCATCACGGTACTAATGAGTTTTCGGTTCCTACTCAATAGCATCAATCAATCTAGCTAATTAATCATGGCATGAACAATGTTTTTTTTTGTTATTCGTTATTTTTGTCATCAAAACTGTTTACAAAGTTGATAGAATGGTGGATACGATAAATGTCTAGAATTCAAATGACAAATAAATAATTCAGTTTCAAAATTGAGGTCACTGACTTACTAAAAATATCACCGATAAGGGTGATTTCTGCATATTCAGACAATATTATCCCTCTCCTATTAGGTTATCATTTGAAATGACAATGGTCCAAATACCGGGTGACACAGGAGACGTAACTGCCTGTAGTTTTTTTTATTTGAAGAGATTAAAATTTAAAATCCACAAGGGTTATATTATCGATGATGGCGCTTCCCTTGAACTCAATGACAATTTTCTTCAACCACCTGTTTGATCAGAAGTAGACCCAACATTTTTTTTTCAGAATGCACCCTGTATATTTCTAAAGCCTATCTTATTTTCCATGAAATTCTCTATTCAACTATGTACCACAATTTGATATTCGTTCATTAATTGGCTGTTAAATTGCATTTCATTGATATACATGAAGTTGGCCCGAATACAATGACATTTCGATGCTTGATAGGCTTAGAAATCCAAAGATCATTATTAGACGATATTATCAGAATATTTCCCATACCCTAATCCTTATCGGTCCCAGGCCAGGAGTTTGTCAATGATCTCAAAGAGTTCAGAAAAATCTTCCGAAAATAACTCACGATATTGAGGAAACTAAGATAGAAACTCAGTTTTTTTCATTTGGCTACTTGTGAAGAAACTATTTGTCTTTTATTTTCGCCATGTAGCCAAAATTTGATCATCCATTTGGATACATGAAACTGGAATTGTAGTTATAATTATTGATGTATCGTTCTAATATCGTGAGTTATTTTCGGATGATTTTTTCAAACACAATTAAATTATTCACAATCTTCTGGGACCGATTAGGGTATGGAAAATATTCTGATAATATCGTCTAAGTGATGATCTTTGGATTTCTAAGCCTATCAAGTATCGAAATGTCATCGTATTCGGGCCACAGCCAATTTCATGTAATTCAATAATAGTTATTTAACCAACTAGTGTATTAATGAGGGCGATTAATGATCGAGATATTTTAACGTGCGAGCGAAGCGAGCGCGTTAATGTTTGAGATCATTAATCGCCTTTTAATATACAAGTTGGTTACACAATTTTTCCGTCGACTATATTTCTCATTTCTCCTGCAATGAAGAAAACTTAGTTCGCGAATTCATCATTCATCCGGAAACTGCTAAGAATCACCCAGTAGCCTTGTCACTGACATTAGTGACATTTGACATTTGTCGAAATGATCAACATAGAAAATAAATTCCTTGTGTTAGAAAACAGGGAAAAAATCGTGTCAGAAACTTGGAAAGGCGAACCCGTTAACAGAAAATCTTCGATGAAATCCATATTTTCGATTTAAATGCAGATTCCGTAAGTTATAGCATAAACAATGAATGCACGCGGTGTATGTTTGGTTGCCTATAAAACAATCGTGCATTAATAAACAAACCGTTTATTAATAGGGGTCATTAATGAACGATTTCATATACATTAAACTTAGTCGTTAATACGAGGTCGACGGAAATAGTTATTTAATCAACTAGTGTATTAATGAGGGCTGTTAATGATCGAGATCATTAATCGCCTTTTAATATACAAGTTGGTTACAAAATTTTTCCGTCGACTATATATTTCTCATTTCTCCTGCAATGAAGAAAAGTTGGTTCGCGAATTGATCATTCATCCGGAAACTGCTAAGAATCACCCAGTAGCCTTGTTACTGACATTAGTGACATTTGACATTTGTCGAAATGATCAACATAGAAAATAAATTCCTTGTGTTAGAAAACAGGGATTAAAATCGTGTCAGAAACTTGGAAAAGCGAACCCGTTAACGGAAAAACTTCGATGAAATCCATATTTTCGATTTAAATGCAGATTCCGTAAGTTATAGCATAAACAATGGACGCACACGCACGCGGTGTATGTTTGGTTGCCTATAAAACAATCGTGCATTAATAGACAAATCGTTTATCAATAGGGGTCATTAATGAACGATTTCATATACATTAAACTTAGTCGTTAATACGAGGTCGACGGAAAAATACAATTTAACACATTTCAATAAAATACAATTTAACACCTAACTAATGAACGAATATCAAATTGTGATACATAGTTGAATAGAGAATTCCAAGGCGAATGGGATAGACTACAGGAATATACGAGGGGCTATTAGAGAAAAAAAAGTTGGGTCTACTTCCAATCAAACAGGTGGTTGAAAATAGTCATTGGGTTCAAATAAAAAAACTACAGACTGTTACATGTCTTCTGTGTCACCTGGTATACTGGTTATTTGATGTACAATTTTGAGAATCATTGATTCTCTATTATAGGATCAGAGTAATAGAAAAGAAGATCGTAGTGAGCAGATACGAATTACGACAACAACTGGATCTTCTACAGGCAAAGAACCTTATGAAGGCATAGAAACAGAAGAAATACAAATCATTACACAAGGCCGAGGGGATCAAATTCCAAATACATCTTCTGTATGTACAGAAGTATGTGAAGACGATGCTCCATGTGAAGGCATTGGCAAACCATGCCAAACCACAGAAGATGAGAAAAAAGAAGCTGTAAGCGGCGAGAACAAGGTAGACCGTGGTGAAGATGTTACTAACAAAATATCCAGAGAAGTGTGTGGCGATGTACAACCTTGCGAACCCTGCGTTCTAGCTGGAAAAACTTGTCAAACGAAGTTTGACTTTGCCGCACCTACCATGGAAAAAATAGTGGAGACAATCCGAAGAGAATCCATTTCTTCCGCACAAGAGGCAGTGAAACATATCACTGATGCCTTGTTGGGGTCAGTCGTACCAAGAATTAAGAGGGAATCTGATGTATCTGGAGACATGCCAATAGTCCCAGAAGTGAAGAAGGAAGTATTAGAAGTCGGAGAAATGGAACAAAAAATGGAGAAGGAAACTTCTTCGAGCCAAGCTGCGAAAATCATAACCGAAACATTGTTGGATAAAGTGTCAGGGCATCGAGAGGTTTGATATTTGACTATTTTATTTGATGATACCTACTGTGCTAGCTGTACTGTAGAAAAATCATGAAATCATCACTTGAACGTTTGAAAGTTTGAAGTTTGTTCGAAAGGACCCCGCACTTTTAGTACGTAAAATGGTTCTCGGTGAAATTTTCTGAATTTTCAGTATGTTGTAGAATTCGATGAACTGATTGAACCTGCAGAATCGTAAAGTTCATTGATGAACAGATTCTGAGATACAGGGCGTTGAAGTTACAAATCGGCATTTTTCATTCAAATATTTTCTCGAAATTCAAAGATGCCGAGTACAATTTTCTTCCCTAATATCATTAACGAACCTCCATATTACTCAACATAATTCAGATGGTTCAGATGATGTAATTGTTTACAGAGTGAATCATATAAACATTTCAGTGATGTCTGAAAATTCGATGTGATAATGAAATATCGAAAAAATAATCTAGGCATGCAATATAGTATTCTCATTCCATCATGAATCATAATTCATACATTTCATACAGGGTGATTTGAAAAATTGGTGACACCTAAGACCGTTTTATTCATACACATCCTGTATATTCGAGTGAATTGTTAACCTCCCAAGATAGCTGATACCGTATGAACATGATTTCGTTGAGATATATAGGGTGATCATGAAGATTTTCGATGATGAAAATGACAAAAAATCGTGTTTTTTGAAATCACCCTGTTATTCATGATTAACTCGGTGAAATTCCCTAATTATTTTTTCAAATATTTATCATTCGCTCCTCAACGCTGTCTTGAAAATTCAGTTTTCTATCATGACGGGTGTCATAGTTATTAATTCAGGAACTTACCATTTGCATGAAGAGTTGAAAAGACTTGTTCACTTACATTCGCATAGTGGCCGATATTTTTCACAAATAGTGAAACGTGAGAATGTGGAGACGAAAATAAGTTTAGTATTCATATATAGGGTGAACATTATGTCCCATACAACACCTTTTCATATTCATCGCTGCTATTTCGTAAACATCCAGTATAATAGGATTATTTATATTACACCATCATACGTATTGAATTATATCATTGGAATGTGATATGAATATGAATCTAATGATATTATAATAATTACTGATAGCAAGCAAATATGAAAATGATGGAAACGCCTGATTCTGAGTGGAAAACAAATGTGAAAAAATCTGTCGATTCCAGGATTCAACTCTCCCTATTAGAAATAGAAGCGTGAAAGACCGAATCATTCTCCCATCTCCTTGGTATTGTTCGTTTTTCATTTTGGCAGAGCTTGTATACCAACGAAATTCGCCTAACTATCTGTACATTATATTAATATTATTAAATTCATGTATCTGCTATTGTTATTGAATTTCTAATGTTCACCCTGTATATGAATACTAAACTTATTTCTGTCTCCACATTCTCACGTTTCACTATTCGTGAAAAATATCGGCCACTATGCGAATGTAAGTGAACAAGTCTTTTCAACTCTTCATGCAAATGGTAAGTTCCTGAATTAATAACTATGACACCCGTCATGATAGAAAACTGAATTTTCAAGACAGCGTTGAGGAGCGAATGATGAATATATTAAAAAATAATTAGGGAATTTCACCGAGTTATTCATGAATAACAGGGTGATTTCAAAAAACACGATTTTTTGTCATTTCCATCATCGAAAATCTTCATGATCACCCTATATATCTCAACGAAATCATGTTCATACGGTATCAGCTATCTTGGGAGGTTAACAATTCACTCGAATATACAGGATGTGTATGAATAAAACGGTCTTAGGTGTCACCAATTTTTCAAATCACCCTGTATGAAATGTATGAATTGTGATTCATGATGGAATGAGAATAGTTTATTGCATGTCCAAATTATTTTTTCGATATTTCATTATTACATCGAATTTTCAGACATCACTGAAATGTTTATATGTTTCACTCTGTAAACAATTACATCATCTGAACCATCTGAATTATTTTGAGTAATATGGAGGTTCGTTAATGACATGAGCGAAGAAAATTGTACTTGGCATCTTTGAATTTCGAGAAAATAATTAAATGAAAAATACCGATTTGTAACTTCAACGCCCTGTATCTCAGAATCTGTTCATCAAAGAACTTTACGATTCTGCAGGTTCAATCAGTTCATCGAATTCTACAACATACTGAAAATTCAGAAAATTTCACCGAGAACCATTTTACGTACTAAAAGTGCGGGGTCCTTTATCTAAAACAGTACTGGCTCCACGTAAAGCACTATGAATGAAGAATATAGAGTTATTGCAACCTCATTCAGTATGATGATATTGCCAAGAAGTATCTTCACTGATTAATTTGAAAAATTTAACTTTCGACATAGCGAAATTCACGTTACCACGACCAAGTAGGCTATTTCTTTTTTTTTTTCAAGTTAAAACAACGACCAAGTCGAACTTCAAAATAGATTATTAATAACAGTTTTTTCCATATGATGCAGACTTCCTGAAAGAAACTGTATTTCAGACTCTTCGAGGAATTTATCTGCTGCTCCGATTGATATTTTGTTCTAATCATTATGTTATATCGGCATGACTTGTTTTTTTTTTCTATTGGTATACAGTGTGTCCCTAGACCAGTGGGACAGTTGAATATCTCCTGAACCAATAGGAATTTTCAAAATATTATGATTTCACATCATATCGCATTATGAGTGCTAACTTCAGGAATGACTATATTTTATACGAGGGGCACAAGAAAGGCTTACAAAATCGAACATAATTTTTTTCAAATGAAACACCCTGTATTTCATTGCATTTTCATATTCTCCTTGAAGAGCTGAATTCAACGACCTAGCACACTTGGGGTCTAGCGGGAATGATTTCCGAGATATAGGGTGTGGAGAATCGAGATTTTTCATTTTTGGGAATTTTTTGTGTCAAAACTATTCATTATTGGTCAAAACAGCTTACATGTCCATATCTTAACTTTTGATTTACTATTTACTCGTATTTAATTGAAACAAATACAGGGTGGTGTAGAATTCTGACTGAAACTGAAAATACCACACCACCCTGTATTTGTTTCAATTAAATACGAGTAAATAGTAAATCAAAAGTTGAGATCTGGACATGTATTCCGTTTTGACCAATATTGAATAGTTTCGACACAAAAAATTCCCAGAAATGAAGAATCTCGATTTTCCACACCTATATCTCGGAAATCATTTACCCCAAGTGTGCTAGGCCGTTAAACTCAGCTCAGCAAGGAGAATATGATAATGCAACGAAATACAGGGTGTTCCATTTGAAAAAATTGATGTTCGATTTTGTGAGCCTTTCTTGCGCCCCTCGTATAAAATATAGTCATTCCTGAAGTTAGCACTCATAATGCGATATGATGTGGAATCATAATATTTTGAAAATTCCTATTGGTTCAGGAGATATTCAACTGTCCCACTGGTCTAGGGACACCCTGTATATTATCAACATATCTTTATATGTACAGGGTGAGTAACCAGCCATAGCCTAATGGCGGATACTGAAAGTCAAGGTGAGTTGATATAAATATAAAAAAATATATTCTGATTATTCCTGACAGAAATACAGGGCATTATTTGTATTCGGGGCGAAACTTTGTTGAACGATATTTCAGGATCGACTTTATGTTTTCGCCTGAAATTCACCAGCAATCTACCTCTACTGACATACCACACGATGACCTACTATGGAAGACAAATTCCAGAGCCGGAATTGGAAAACTAATTTTCTTCTTGAATGTCAAAATTTCGACTTTTTGAATCGTATTTTTCAAAAACTTTCATCAGAATTAGAAAGATCAGGAAAAACACCACAAGTGTAGCCTTCCAATTTGTACGGTACACTTCGACCGGATTGGTGAAAAAATATCAAACAAAATTCAGACGAATATTTCTTCGATTTTGTCCGGGCCATAACTCTCTACATTCGACTAGAAGTATTCGAATTAGTTTTTTTGAATAATTATATAGCAGGAGAGTTGAGAAAAGTATTATTGAAGAAAACCCAGCAAACATTTTGATATGGGGCATCAATGGCCTAATATATTTTGCCATACCTGACATCAGCGGCCCAGTAAATGGTCCCATGTGCGAGACTCTATAAAGGGTGTCCGGAAATTATGCGCAAACAATCAAGGGGGTGATTCTACGTAATGAAATAAGAAATTCATTTCATTTGAACCTAGGTCCGGAAATGCATAGTTTTCAACATACAGTGTGTTGAAACTTTTAAAAAAGATCGGTTTTTTATGAATATCTCAAATGTCTTTCCACTGATTTCCTTGAAATATGGCCATAATATTTCTTGTCATGAGGGACCCATAATTCAATTGGAATCTTGGAATCCAGTGGCGTCCCGATGGGCAACCTACCGAATATTATTGTCAATAAAATGTGCGCCACTGATTTTTTTGAATTCTGTATCTTCATAACCTATATTGACCAACTAAAAATACAACATTTTGATTTCCTGAATTGTTGTGCTATTTTGCTGCTTCTTGGTGAAAAAAAATAAATTCCAATTCATTGTATAAATTTGCGCAAAATATTGCTTCAAAAACAGGGGTGAAATTAAATGTGAGATCCATGTCCATAGACGTAGAATAAGAATGAAGAATAATTATCTTCAAATATTTTATAATACATGTTTGACACACTCTACACTCAGTATATTGAGAACTATGTATTCTCGGTCCAGGAAGTCGTAGTTTTCGATAATACAAAATGTGTCAAACATGTATTATAAAATATTTGAAGAAAATGAATCTTCATTCTTATTTTACGTCTATGGACATGGATCACACATTTAATTTCACCCCTGTTTTTGAAGCAATATATGTTTTGCACAAATTTATACAATGCAGTGGTATTTATTTTTTTCCACGGAAACGCGGCAAAATAGCAAAACAATTCAGGAGATAAAAATGTTGTATTTTCAGTTAATCATCAGGATATGAAGATGAAGAATTCAAAAAAATCAGTGGCGCACATTTTATTGACAATAATATTTGGTAGGGTGTCCCAGGGACAGGGATTTGACAATTCCAATTCAAATTATGGTTAAATCAGCCTCTCATGACGAAGAATATCGTTGCCAAATTTCGTGAAAATCGGTGGGAGGATATTTGAGATATTCATAAAAAACCGATTTTTTCAAAAAAGTTTGACACACTGTATTTTGAAAACTATGCATTGCCAAACCCAAGTAATTATATGGAATAAATTTCATGTTTTCACATGCAGAATCACCCCCTTGATTTTTTGCGCATAATTTCCGGACACCCTGTATATCAGTACACTGCGGCTGGCAGCTGGTCCCAGTGCTGGGTACCCAGCAATCATATTCAGTCGGCAAAAGACCAGAACAACATAATCGACACATTGAGTTTCCCATAGCAAGCCCAGCATAAACATGAATGATGGGACTCTGATGGCCAATTAACACCATTGGTTCCACATGCATACTATCGAGGTTTGGTAGGGGTAGAGGTTTTAGGGGTCCAATGGATCTGAAAGTTTTAGTACCTCTTTATTTCACAATATAACTCTCTCATCATGAATCAGACACAAACCAGATTCCAAGAAAACAATTTTATGAATGACACAATGATACCTTCTTAACCTCTCTGTTCTTCAACGATGAAACTTCTCGGAGTGACTGCTTACTGGTTGGTATGTGGTATCTACATCTTATTGGGTAGCATTCCTTCAAAGTTGATTCTTCGTTGTGAGGTACTTCTGGAATCTGAAATGCATCATTAGTTATATATTAGTGGTCTATGAGTTGCATGAGTTTTTTAACTTGATATGATATAGTCTGATGACGTGATAACATGGAACTTTTCGATTCTCATTATTTCCTCGGCACAGGTATTTCTGTAGCTGAAACCTTATTGTTATTCAGCTCTATGATATAGAGAGACGTTCACATAACCTAAAATTGCTTTCGAGTTAAAAATGATAGTTGCTTTTGGAGAAGTACAGTCAACTCCAATTATTATAATCATTAGGTATATGAGGTTATGAGATACCAAACACATGCATTTGATAATGAAATTAGAAACACTATTTAGGTAGATTGATATACTCACTCAATATTATCATGATTGAAGAATTCGTCTTCTATTATTATTGTTTCTTTTTTTGTTTTTTTTTTGTCCACATCCACCAGGGGGACGAGTAGCGGACATGAAATTGGCCAGCAAAGGGCCAGATCTCGTTAGTATTCAATTAGTTCCGGACATCTTACCATCACAAAGCCATCATCGTATTTTCAACTGATGGTTACTTGGCATAGATAAATCATCGGCATATTATTAATACCCCGGCATCGTCACTTTCCCAGACTAGCCTGCACTAGGCCAGACTTCTCCTGCTAGTTTAATGTTTGCTGGGAAATCAGGACCGGACTCGGTTTTTGTAAAGAATTACAAAACATAATTTTCGAAAAAGATTCGTCTGTAGATCCTAATATTTTTCAACGATGATTCTCAAAATGTCATCTTCCCTAATTTCTATACATTTTCTGCTCATCTTCGGAAGATCACTTATGGTTCTTAGAATAATTCGCTCATTATTTCTGATCATATCTGAATCTGTATCTATCGTCTTCCTCAGTTCCTCTCTGGTGTTGACTTCAGTCTGATATACCAATAGTTTCATGGATAGATAGATAAAAGTCTAATTCTGTGAGATTGGGGCACCTAGGAGGCCAAGAATGAAGGCCGCCACGACCTATCCAGCGATTAGATAATTGTTTCCAAAGAGAGAAATTCAAGTCATCACTACATACTAGTTCATAAAATGAACGATAATGGTAGATAACGATAGAAAAACAACTACTTTCCTGGCTATATGCCACGCAGAACATTGCATTACATCCTCCCGAAATCTATGCGATAGTTCGTATAAACGAATAAAATCGCAAGTGTTTCCTTCCTGAACGCTGAGCTGCGCTAAAGTGGTTCAGGAACGCTGACTACCTGCAGACCGGTTTCGAGCTGTTGGCTCTCATCAGTACAGGGCTGTCCCAGATAGCTTCTTGACCGCTATCTGGTGCGAACCTGACCCAACGTAAACGCATCTCAGCATTTATACCATAAGAGGCGTACGAAGTCCGCGAAATGAAAACGCGAACGCCGAACGCCACCTGGCAAGGAAAGAAACACTCCAAAACAAATTCCCATTTCCGGTGAAATGGGAGTGGCTGGTTGCCCGACTGGCGTATTTTCAACTAGGGAAAAAACCAAATACTCAAAGTGGAATAATGCAATGGTCACAAAGAGAGAAAAACTCAAAGTCATTACCACATACTAGTTCATAAAATGAACGATAATGGTAGATAACGAGAGAATAACAACTACTTTCCTGGCTATATGCCACGCAGAACATTGCATTACATCCTCCCGAAATCTATGCGATAGTTCGTATAAACGAATGAAATCGCAAGTGTTTCCTTCCTAAACGCTGAGCTGCGCTTAAGTGGTTCACCTTGCCAGGTGGCGTTCGGCGTTCGAGTTTTCATTTCGCGGACTTCGTACGCCTCGTATGGTATAAATGCTGAGATGCGTTTACGTTGGGTCAGGTTCGCACCAGATAGCGGTCAAGAAGCTATCTCGGACAGCCCTGTACTGATGAGAGCCAACAGCTCGAAACCGGTCTGCAGGTAGTCAGCGTTCCTGATCCACTTATGCGCAGCTCAGCGTTTAGGAAGGAAACACTTGCGATTTTATTCGTTTATACGAACTATCGCATAGATTTCGGGAGGATGTAATGCAATGTTCTGCGTGGCATATAGCTAGGAAAGTAGTTGTTTTTCTCTCGTTATCTACCATTATCGTTCATTTTATGAACAAGTATGTGGTAATGACTGAGTTTCTCTCTCTTTGTGACCATTGCATTCCACTTTGAGTATTTGGCTTTTTCCCTAGAAGATAATTGTTTGTCTAGGTATCCTCTCACTTGTATTGATTAATGTGCAGGTGCCCCATCGAGTTAAGAGAAAATACCTATTTAGGTCCATTTTCATACATCAATCACAGTCTTCTTTTGTAGTGTTTTCTGAATAACAAAAACACCGAACTAACAAATTGATTCGATGACTGTAGTATGAGTTGGCACGTATATTTTTTCATATCTTGGAGCGCACGAGAGGAAATTCCTAAAATGTTCGGAAAACATCGTGCGTACTTAGGAAGGATAGGGAGAGGAGGTAGATATGGGAATTTTTTTTCAATGAGCTATTTATTTTAATTTTTTTAAAGGTCTCTTCAAGTCCGGTCCTTGAATTTTTCATCGAATAGAACCTTTTTTTCAACTTTTATATCACACCGATATGCAAGAAATGGATTGAAATAATTTGTTGAACGATGTGACTACAATAGTCAGTACGAAATCATGGAATCGTTCATCAGTATTTTGTTCGATATTTTTTCATCAATCCAGTGGAAGTGTGTCGTACAAATTGAAAAATTACACTTGTAGTGTTTTTCCTGATTTTCCTGATTCTGATGAAATTTTTTAAAAAATACGATTCAGAAAGTCGAAATTTTGACATTGAAAAAGAAAATGAGTTTTCCAAGTCCAGCTCTGGATTTGTTTTTCATGGTATGCCATCGTGTGGTATGTCAGTAGAGGTGAGTTTCTGGTGAATTTCAGGCGATAACATCGAGACATTCCTGGAATACCGGTCATCAAAGTTTCGCCAAATAAAGCCCTGTATTTCTGTTACGAATAGGCAAAATATATTTGCTCACATAATAATATATATTAACTCCTTGACTTCCTCTATCTATCTTGGGGTAATAAAAAACAACAAAAATTATATTTCTTCGATGAATCTGAAACAGTATTGAATTTTGCAATTACTCACAAAAATGACATTTGTCTTGAAAGAAATCAACCATTTTGTATTAATAAAAATTATATTTAAATTTCTCACAATAAGTTTCACTTCGAAGGGTTCTCGTTGTGTATTCAATGCAAATATTTATACTTCCGATTCAAATCTTGTGAACATCCTGAATTGGCATCATCATTTTCATTATTATCATCATTGAATTTCACTTTTTTTGTCAGATTCAAGAGAAAGTCGAGCTTGAAACAGAAGAAACAAAAAACACAATTGATTCCTCAGATGTTATAAAAGAATCTACACTTCAATCTGAAGCAAGTATAGATAAAATAGAAAAAGATATTGTTGAAGTAATCGATAGTGAACCATCGAAACAAGAACATGACCAAAGAATAGAAGAAGGTTTTGGTGAAATTCTTGATACTAAACCATCAAATGTAGAAGAACAGAAAGGAACGATTGAAGGAGGCATCGATAAAGTAATTGATAGTAAACCATCAGAGGTAGAAGGGCAGGAACAAACAATGGAAGAAGTTATCGATAAAATAACTGATAGTGAAACATCTAAACAAGAACAGGAACAAATAATGGAAGGTGTCGATAAAGAACTTGATAGTAAAGAATCAACTATAAAAAAACAGGAACAGATAGAAGAAGGAAATATCGAGAAGGTAATTGAAAGCCAACCATCAAATTTAAAAGAACAAGGTCAAATAATTCGAGATGGTGCTGACATAGTATTTGACAGCAAGTCATCTAATGTAAAAGATTCATCCAAAATAACAGGAGAACAAAGACAGTCAGATGTTTCAAAAACATCCCCTCCAACTCCAATAACTCCATCGGCTAATCTTATAAATGATCAGGAATTGCTGAGTCCAAAAGCTACGAATACAGCAAAGACGTCCGTTACCCAAAAACAACAACTTCCAAAAGAAGAACTGATTGATTCACATCCCCCTGGAGAAGTGCTGAAGGAAGAAATTCTAGGAGATTTTCCATTCGAAGTAGAAACTACTGTTGTTGCCCTCGACGAGCCTCCACCGGGTCTTCTTGTAACGACTACCATCACCAATTCTGGAAATTTGGAAGTCATCACTGAGGGACCCAATGGTGTAATCGAGACAAAACTGAATTATACTGAAGATGGTGTTATTGAGGTAGGAGACTTGATTTTATTACTACTTTCACTGCAGGGTGTCCCAGAACAAACTACCATAAATTCCACAGGGTGAACTATCCACCAGAGCGCTCTGAGTTACAGGGTGTTTTATTCAAAAATTTTGAAATGTTTTTTGCCCATTTCTTCAAAACTATTTGACATATCACTTTCATATTTGAAGGGAAGTGTAGGTATTATACATCTAACTGAATTATGTGAAATGAACTCTTCTAGCTATCACCAGAGGCGTGCGACAGGGGCAAGTGACTGGTTGATCCTTCCCAAATTCTACGCCACTGGCGGAATTGCAATTTTATCAGAATTTTTCGATTCTTCAATACCTTGTTCGTAAATAATGTACTCCTTCTTCATAGCGATAAAGTCATTATTTTTCGAGATATTTCAAGTTAAACATGAAGCAGCACAATTATTTTGATTTTAATGTTTATCAATAATGTCGATATTTTGGATCAATATACTGCATTCATCAATCAAATGAAACTCCAATCCATATTAACATAAAAACATAACAGACGGGAGCTGTTACAGAGCGTTTTAAATTTTCTTATATATTACATAATTAAACACCCTGTAACATCTCCTGTCTGTTATGTAATTATGTTTTTATTGTTAATATGGATTGAAATTTCATTTCATTAAGGAATACAATCCATTGATCCAAAATATTGACAAAATTGATGCACATTGAAATCAACATGATTGTGCAGATTTATGTTTAACTTGAAATATCTCGAAAAATAATGACTTCATCACCATGGAGAAGGAGCACACTATCTACGTCAAAATCGTTGGAGAATCGAAAATTTGTGATAGAATTGCAATTCCGCCAGTGGCGTAGAATTTGGGATGGATCAACCAGTTAATTACCCCTGTCGTACGCCTCTGGTGATAGCTAGAAAAGTTCATTTCACATAATTCAGTTGGGTGTATAATACCTACACTTCCCTTCAAATATGAAAGTGATACGTCAAATAGTTTTGAAGAACTGGGCAAAAAACATTTCAAAATTGTTGAATAAATCACCCTGTTACTCAGAGAGGAGACATATTTTATCTAAGTGATTTGGGTTGAATCTTCATATTTTGAGTTCGGGATTCTATGATTGAAATATTTCCAATTAGTGATGAAACACCCTGTATATCAATTTGATACATATACAGCGAGATTGGTATTTCGCATTCTCTTTGAGGAAATTTGATATAATTTTTTTTGAGTATGCAACTGACCACTTTCTGATATTGCAATGAATGACAACATTAATTATTATATCTAACTTTTTTCTAACCGCATTTTTTTTTAAATTTTTCTTGGTTCTCGAAATATCTAACATAACTAGTTTTGGTGCTTCTCCATTCTCTCCATCATGTTTTGCAAGTTTCTATCTCAATTGTGTTCAGTTATTGATCACAATAATCATGTTTAACTACTTCAGCATATGATTGTGATATACAGTGTGACCCACTTCTATTGGAAGCACCCCTGCTGTATCTTACGTAATCGTTGGCTAAGGATCCTGAAATTTGCTGGAGCGAGAGATATACCAAAAATGCACTCTATGACCAAGTGGGGTCATCTTCAGTGATGTACACTGCTCGCCAACAGCCATGGAACCACCCCAATTGGCGTAAAATGATATAAGGAGTCAAAATAGGTCGAAAATCACTTCAGATTCGCAATCAGGACGCCCAATTCACTGAATATTCATATTTTTCCTGGAAAGTTTTCAGATCTGAAAAATAAAATTTTGTCGCACTTTTTACGGAAGCACCCCCATGTACTTAATTGACTTTATCTGTGGACTTTCCCTTCTTCCTGCAAATATCAGAACCATACCTCAATAATTACGTGAGATACGGGGGTTCTTCCATGAGAAGTGAGACAGAATTTGATTTTTATGAACTGAAAATTTTCTGGGAAAACCATGAATAAGTAGTTAATGAGTTGGGCGTCCTGATTCCGAATCCGAAGGGATTTTCTACCTATTTTGACTCCTAATATCATTTTCCAGAAATTGCGTTGATTCTTTATTACGGATGTTGTATTATGCTCTAGTCGAATCTAGAATTTCCTACGGAATACTTGGATGGGGTGGTGTGTCTACATGTCATATGATGAAATTGGAAAATTTACAAAAAAGATTTTTGAAAATATTATTAAGAAAAGATCCGAAGTACCCCTCAACTCTGTTGTATAAAGAAGCTAATATCCTTGACATCCGTCAACTATTTTTTTCACAAATAGCCATATATCAATTCAAGAACAAACACTTACTCAACTACATTGATCATGGGTATGGAACGAGACAAAAAGAGAACTAAATGGCGGAAACTTTGTTTTCTGCTAAAAAAATCGGTCAGAGAAGTCATGTTCATTTAGCAAGTAGAGTTTAAAATATTTTTAAATCTCGCATAAAACACTATATTTTATCGTGCGATAGAAAATTTACAACTGATATAGTTGATATGAGATGAATAAATCATTTCACTTTATATGCAGATTTTTAATCAAAAGAGGCTAAGGTTATTCAATTTTCAATTATCATGAGTTGTATTGTGTTGATCCTGTTATAGTCATTTATATATTATATATTTTATTTTAAATTTTACTTATAATATATTAACCGCATTGTCATTTGTTAGTAGATAATAATACCCAATTTCTCTCCTCTGTCACATGCTCAATGAAAAAAAAAAGCAATATAGGAATCTCGTGCGCAAGCCATGCTTTTTACGAGGTATTTCCTTGTTTATTTGATTTATATATTCACATGTAAAATCTTTTTGCCTTTATATATTCTTCATTTACTATTAATGTACTATATTATGTAATGTGAAATTTGTAAAACAATACTATTTTTGTATATTTTTGTCAAATATACTTAATTATAAAAAATCTTAATCATTCCATGGCTGTTGGCGAGCAGTGTATATCACTGAAGATGACCCCACTTGGTCAGAGAGTGCATTTTTGGTATATCTCTCGTTCAGCAAATTTCAGGATTTTTACCCAACGGTTACGTAAGATACAGGGGTGTTATCTTCAGAAGTGGGTCACAAAGTAGTAAGCTGTCAACTATTGGATATAATGATATACAGAGTGGGCCTTTGAAAACGAAACAGAGGCTCTGTAGGTCGCCAAAACCGTAATAAGAAAAAAATATGAAACACGTCAACTACATTTTCGAGGGGGGCATCGTCCTAAAATATTTTCGGCCCTGCGGCGTTGCCGCTTCAAACGAAGAGAAGCAACAACTTTGTTATTTCAAATGGAACACCTTGTATTTTATTGCACTTATAGATTCTCCCCGAAGAGCTGATTTCATCAATTCATCACACTTGGGGTCTAGCTGCCCAGTTAACACAAAATCATCTCAGAGATGTTCGTAGGCTTCACTTTTATGTTACAGATCACACCAGTGAGTCGAAATGTGACTAACATTAGTATCGCCAACACTTCTATTCGGGGCCCCCTTGACCGGCTTCAGGCATTACAATGCGATGCCTAATGTGACTCGAAATCTGCTGAATGTGACCTACTACTTCTCCTTCAAAATCGAATGCACATTGGGGTACTTTTGATGTTATAATGTGAAGTCGAATGAATCGCTACTTATTACATGATGTGAATCACAATCCGTATCACTGGATGTGTCACATTCCGATAGCAAAGATGTATTTTAATGAAGTATTTTGTAACTCTCATTCATGTCAAAACCACATGAATTTCAGATGTTGCCGGAGAACTCACAATTTGGGTTTATTAGACCACATTTGTGAATGATAATGTAAATCGCATTTCAGTCACTGATACGAATAATTGGGAGTATAGGATTGGTGAATTGGAAACCTGAAATGATAAATTTTTACAACAAACAAATCGGTAACAAAGAAGCTGATTATATTTCAACGTGGAAAACGGATATAACATATAATATGAACAAAGTATATATGGCTTATATGGAATATATTCAAATATATATATATATGAATAATAAAACAGTTATTATCACAAATGAACAAACAAAATAATATTATCACAAATGAACAAACAACTTATTAAATAAACTGTCCGACATAAACTGTATTAACAAGAAAAATAATATGAAACATTCTAACAAAACGAACGAAACGTTGAAAAAACAATTCTCATAGTCGTACATGAATAACAAAAAATTAACAAACTCAAAATCTTGGATCGATTTTACTTATAAAGCTGTTACAATTTTGTGGCTGGGCATGGAGATCTCGGTAACCGGTAATTGTTAATAGAAATTCCCATCCTCAATCAGAAATTCTTAACAGCATGTATAATACTTGAAATTTCAGTATACAGGGTGTCCCAATTTCGCAGGCCGACATGAAAAACTCGGGAACGGTTTTCTCCTCCCAAACCACAATAATAGAGAACGTTTCAACCTGGAAATGTAGATTCAGAACATGCAGTTAACAACTAGGTATAACTTACCGATCTATCAAGGCTGGCCAACATAATATAGTCTTATTTTATTTGGTATATGATATTATCTCAACGAATCAACGATTCTAACACTCTCAACAATAGCATCGACTCTCTGATTCCAAATCAAACGAGTTCAAGTATAGACGCTATCATACGCTATGAATCTAAAAAGGAACAATACACCAGCAACCGGCCATCTCACATTCACACTGATGCCACGCCTTCTAATATCAGAGTCCTTTTGAACAATTTCTAGGTACTTCGATTATTACTAAGTACTACTAGCTTCTAGAACTACTATTCGATATTCAAGTTCTTAATATCAATGGTAATTGGGATACGTCGAACTGATGAATTGTTTTATTGCAAAATGAGTAGTTCATTTGATTGTCAATAATTATACAGTAGTCGAGTATGAGCTCGATGAATCAGGGTATATAGGGCATTATCGTACTTTCGGCAACATCTACGACCCTAAACGACCACGTGCAGAGCACATTGTGCGCAACATTCATGCTT